AAAATGACTTGAATGTCCACAATTCTCTTATAAACACTAGTATCAATATGAAATTTACCACAAATAGATTTTATATAAACATTTTATATAAAATGTCGACATTAAATTTTATAAGGATCGGACCAATTTTTGCCCTAGCCCCCATACAACCGGACCTACCGATTAGGGCCTCTTAGCTCATAACTACAATAAATATACTACTATCTTCCCAAAATTTGGCACAACTAAGTTTGATATGTAATTATAAATAACACTGTCATTTTTCGCCATGATCGGAAATAAAAAGTAGCCTATTGCCAGACATACGAATGTGCTGTGAAAATTTGAAGAAAATCGGTTTAGCCGTTTAGTAGTCTATAACGTTCAAACATACAAACATATAAACACACAAACATACAAACATATAAACATACAAACAAACACACATTCATTTTTATATATGTATATTAGGCTTCACGCAATATTGTGTCACAATGTGGTGATGTTTGTAACACTCAAAAATATTTGTCCTTATTAAGCTATGTCCGTCTTTGTGACCGTGTAAACCCTGTGTGCACGCAACAGATCGCAATTTTGAATATAATTTGTTAAAATGTGTCACCTACTATTCTCTGGATCCACTGACGATGGCTGTTGAAAATGATTGAAATCGGTCTTCTATTTTTCGTAGTCAGCATACAACCGAACATGAACAGACATTATTTGGAACCTATATAAGATTAACAGAAATGCTTCATTATTGAAATTAATCACATTTAATACTCGCAATTGGTGTAGGGTATCATATGGTCGGCCACGCCCGACTATAATTTCTTACTTGTTTTATTGTTGAGGAATAAAGTGTGTGTGTTGCATCACATGCAGCAAACAGTAATCTATGGTAGTGGTCAAAGTCAGTTGGTTATTGAAAAATTTTTAATAAACTCCAACTCACTCTCAACTAGATGGTTTTCATGTTCATTTATTTAATCAATTATTTAGGGATTGTTATAAGAGAAAAGGCCTTTTAATTTAAATAAAATAAAATCCATATTGTTAAAGTTTTAAGTTTTCTAAAGGTATTAGTTTATTTCTTTATGCTACAAGTACTTAATAATGAAAAGTTTTATAAACAAATGTTATGGAAGTTTGTAAATTTTTCTAAGAACTTCCTCTTTTTTGTCTTGTTTGATTTTAGCATTTTTTACAAATAATACAAGTAGATTGTTTAACGAACTAAAAAGATGGTCATTTTAATAAAACAAACGGCCTAAAGTTGTAATCATTGTTTTGTAAGGCATTGTAATATGAAATTTACATTTGCTAAAGGAACCAATAGGAAATTATTGAATTGAAAAGTTCTGAAGGACGGACTTCGTTGTCAGTCTAGAAAGTGGTTTTTTGTCTATACATATGTCTATGTTCTTGAAAGTGGATATAGGTAGGTACTTCATGACATGTTATAGTAAAATGTGTTAAGATAAATTTTCCATTTCCCATTGGGTCTAGTTTCTAATAACAAACATCTCATAAGTCAAATGCCTTAAGCTTTGCAAATTTTTTTTCTCAGTTTCTATTGATTACATCTGTTTATCAAACGACTTCAGTTTTTGTTTCTTTTCATTTTTATTAAAGAAGGAAATCCAAAAAATAAATAATGTATACGATAGTTGTCAAAACTTTTCTAATGTACCATATGCTGCAGGCAATAAATCGAAAAAGAAAATTAACGCTTTGTACAAATAAGAAATTAAAATATTCGTATGAAAAAAGAACATCATACACATGTACGTGTTAATATGGATTTATAGTCTGTCTGTTTATCTGTTTGTGCGTTTGTCTGTCTGTATTTCTGTCTGTCTGTCTGTTTGTCTGTCTATTTTTTTGTCTATCTGTTCGTCTGTAAACCTTGTAATCAATATTTCACCTAGCCCACATACAACCGGACTCTCCGATTTATGATTTTTAGCTCATAATTATATTTATTTAATATCTCAACAAAGTTTAATACTACTTGATGGCCTTTCCGAATTTTATAATGATCGGGCCTTATGTTTCGGAATTTTTCTATTTTTTATGAATAGATTTTGCTGATTTTAAATATAAATCTTCTTGGAAGAACTGGACAGACTTAATTCATTGCGCTACCTTTAAGGATACCGAATGTTGGCTTTATGGAATCAGTAAAACTTGCATATACCATTCTCACGTAGATGAAGGGTATACAAATACAAACATGTTGATGTTAACAATTAATTCATCGGGTGATATTTTTATCATTATATGGTCAATTTTTCTGACTTAATTTATTAAATAATTTAATACCAAGAAATATAATTGATCATTTGTTGTTGCTAATCAAATTGTACTTCACACAATAACAAGAAAAAAAACAAGTAAGACCATTTAATACCCTACACCAATTGTGAATATTAAATGTGATTTATGTTCAATAATAAAGCATGTATGTTGAACCTTACAAGGTTCCAAATAATGTCTGTTCATGTACGGTTGTATGCAGCCGTTGTCATTGGGTTTAAAGAAGAGTATATGCCAAATTTCATTAAATTATCTTAAAAATTGCAACACAGACGGACAGACATAGCTTAATCAACTTAGATTTTGAGCCGATTGGAATACTTTAAGGTGGGTGCAGCACCAATATTTTTGGGTGTTACAAACATCAGCGCAAACGCATAATACCCTTCTCACTATAGTGGTGTAGGATATAATTATAAATCAAATCAAAATAAAATAATTATGAATGAATAATTGAATTAATGTAAGACAGGTGCGCAGTTTGAAGATTTTTATGGGGTTTTGGGAAAATTACTATTTCCTATCTTGCCTTCAACAATTTCAAGAAGTCGCGGAGGTGTTTTGACATGTTATCCGTCAGTCTGTCTATTAATCATTGTAATCAAAAGTTTTAAATTTTGGAAAAACTTCTAATAAAAAGCGTATTAAACTTTGGATTAATTTGGTAATTGATTTCACTTTTTAAGTCAATTTAACGAAGTCCATCTGTCTGTCCAATTTTGATTATAATTCCATGAAATTTGACTGAGAATTGACGAATTCCACCTCCATCGATCACCGTTAAATAAAAGAGTTCCAGGGTTTGAGGAAAGGGAGTACTCTTCGAAAAGAGGGACGAAAACGAACGAACTAACGAACGAACGAACGAACGAACGAACGAACGAAACGAACGAACGAACGAACGAACGAACGAACGAACGAACGAACGAACGAACGAACGAACGAAACGAACGAACGAACGAAAAACGAACGAACGAACGAACGAACGAACGAACGAACGAACGAACGAACGAACGAACGAACGAACGAACGAACGAAGAACGAAAACGAACGAACGAACGAACGAACGAACGAACGAACGAACGAACGAACGAACGAACGAACGAACGAACGAACGAACGAAGAACAACGAACGAACGAACGAACGAACGAACGAAAAACGAACGAAACGAACGAACGAAACGAACGAACGAAACGAACGAACGAACGAACGAACGAACGAACGAACGAACGAACTAACGAACGAACGAACAACTAACGAACGAACGAACGAAGAACGAACGAACGAACGAACGAACGAACGAAGAACGAACGAACGAACGAACGAACGAAAACGAACGAACGAACGAACGAACGAACGAACGAACGAAACGAACGAACGAACGAAGAAGAACGAACGAACGAACGAACGAACTAACGAAACGAACGAACTAACGAACGAACGAACTAACTAACTAAACGAACTAACTAACTAACTAACGAACTAACTAACTAACTAACGAACTAACTACTAACTAACTACAACGAACTAACGAACACTAACGAACGAACTAACGAACTAACTAACTAACTAACTAACTAACTAACTAACTAACTAACTAACTAACGAACTAACTAACGAACTAACTACTAACTAACTAACTAACTAACTAACTAACTAACACTAACTAACTAACTAACTAACTAACAACTAACTAACTAACTAACTAACTAACTAACTAACTAACTAACTAACTAACTAACTAACTAACTAACTAACTAACTTAGTAACTAACAAACTAACTCACTTTCCGAATAGATTTAACAATGTCTGTTCTTCTGTCAACCTTATCGGGTGATAGATATCTCAGCAACTACAGCAGATTTTTAAACAATTCAATATATATAATATGTTTAGTCTTCATTTTAAAACAGACATAATGGACTTTCAGTTGTATACTTTGGTTTCGGGGTTTTGTCGGTCTATATTTAAAGTAACAGTTTAATATAAAAATGTTTGTCCTTCTTTGAAAAGAGGATAATTATCTCAAATCGAGACTTGACTCTAATTGAACTTCACTTTCTGTATCAATAGTCTATTATATCAAAATAATTCATAACTGGAATGAATTTGGTAGTAAATATAATGAATATTTTTATAATTTCTGTCGTACCGTTTCACCAAACAATCAAGTAACTACTAAGAACTTAAACCATCACAACAAATCTCAATAAATTACATAATTAAATGCATTTTACAACCATTAAATGAATCATAATTTCATAAATTCTCACTGCAACCTAAATTGTCTGACATAGTAAGGCCCTAAATATTAGATAAGATAACATCAATAGTCGATACCCAACGTTTAGCTACGTTACTGGCTAAAACAGGTATTATCACAAAAAATATTAAAATTTTTTGATAAGAAAGTGTTGAAAAAACAAATGTTTCTAGGAAATAATCAAACACACATGTTTATATTAATATAAACAAATGTTACAGTTTTGGGTCTTAAATTTATAAGTTGGAGAAAGAAAATCTAGACTCTTTAAAAAAAATGCTGTGACTCAGAATTTTATAATGTATGCGAATAAAAAAAAATTATTGTATTTGTAATTAGTTATTTATTATCAAACTGTTATCAGTGATAAAATTAAATAAATAAAAATACAACAAAAAAATGCTAGATTTTGTATATTTAAATATATAAAAGGTGGAAACATTTATTTAATTCGGAAGTGATAACTATACGAAAAGCAACTATGAAAGTTGCATATGGTGTTTTGGCCATAATATTGCTGGCGTTCAGCAATAATTTTGTAAGTTTTCTTAAATATATATTCTGTTAAAAGGAATAAAAGTAATAATTTTGTAAACTAATTTTTATATAGACCTCTGGTTATGTGGTAGTAACAAATGAGAACTTAAACGAGGATTTAGTTCAAACGATTCAAGCCTGGAATCTATTATTCGATGCAATTTTTAAAAGTTACAATATAGAGCAACATTTTCAATTACCCCAAGATGCTCCCATTGATTTGGAAAATTTCGAATGTTTCTTGCAATACAAATTAAGAAATATTGAGGCATTAACCCAAGTTGGTCAAGAAATCCGACAATGTTTAGATGTTTCCATTTGGGATTTGCAACATTATTTTAAACGTCATTCTTTTAAGCGTTTAAGAAAACATTTATCACATGATATTGTTCGTTGCAAGACTAAATATGAAGATGATGATGATGCCTATTTGGATTGTTTTGTGGATGTTGTAAGTAAACAATCGTGTGAGTTTTTTTTAACAAATATTTATAATTTTTACAAAATTTTAGGTTCTTAAAAGTTTTAAGGATTTAAAACGGGAAGATCAACATGTTAACAAGAAAACGAAAAAGTGTGTTCGTTTCGAATTGACAAAATTGTCGAATGAGTTAATTGTTGTAAATGAGAAACTACAAACTTGTTTGGCGGAGAACTCTTATCCTCCTTATGTTGTGAATTCTACAGTTACTCCTCAATTGAATACTACTTTGAATCCTTGGCAAAATGGCACCTGGAATCCCTGGCAAAATTCTACTTGGGCTCCTTGGCAAAATTCTACTTGGAACCCTTGGCAGAATAGTACCGCTGTACCTCCAATTGTTAATAGCACTTGGAGTCCCTGGCCAAATACGACATGGAATCCTTGGCCCAATACCACATGGAGTCCCTGGCCGAATTCAACTTGGAATCCTTGGCCTAATACTACGTGGAATCCTTGGCCTAATACCACGTGGAATCCTTGGCCCAATAGCACATGGAATCCCTGGCCCAATACAACATGGAGTCCTTGGCCAAATACAACGTGGAACCCCTTGCCCAACAGCACATGGAATCCCTGGCCCAATACAACATGGAGTCCATGGCCCAATACAACATGGAGTCCCTGGCCTAATTCCACTTGGAATCCTTGGGAAAATAGTACCGCAATACCACCTATTGTAAATACAACTTGGAGTCCCTGGCCCAATACAACATGGAATCCATGGCCTAATACTACATGGAATCCCTGGCCCAATACAACATGGAATCCCTGGCCCAATAGCACATGGAATCCCTGGCCCAATACAACATGGAGTCCTTGGCCTAATTCTACTTGGAATCCTTGGGAAAACAGCACCGCAATTCCTCCCATTGTCAACACAACATGGAGCCCTTGGCCCAATACTACTTGGAGCCCATGGCCTAATACAACCTGGAACCCCTGGCCTAATACAACCTGGAGCCCCTGGCCTAATACAACCTGGAGCCCCTGGCCTAATACAACATGGAGCCCCTGGCCTAATACAACATGGAGCCCCTGGCCCAATACAACATGGAATCCCTGGCCTAATTCCACTTGGAATCCTTGGGAAAACAGCACCGCAATTCCTCCCATTGTCAACACAACATGGAGCCCTTGGCCCAATACTACTTGGAGCCCCTGGCCCAATACAACCTGGAGCCCCTGGCCCAATACAACATGGAATCCCTGGCCCAATACAACCTGGAGTCCTTGGCCTAATTCCACCTGGAATCCTTGGGAAAACAGCACCGCAATTCCTCCCATTGTAAGCACAACATGGAGCCCTTGGCCCAATACTACTTGGAGCCCATGGCCTAATACAACATGGAACCCCTGGCCTAATACAACCTGGAACCCCTGGCCTAATACAACATGGAACCCCTGGTCTAATACAACCTGGAGCCCATGGTCTAATTCCACCTGGAATCCTTGGCCAAATACAACGTGGAGCCCATGGCTTAATTCAACTTGGAATCCCTGGCAGAACAGTACCGCCGAACCACCCAGTGTAAATAGCACATGGAACCCCTGGCAAAACACTACCTTAAGTCCAGTACAAAATCTCACAACTACCTCACCACCTTTACTTAACACTACCTGGAGTCCAGTTCAAAACACTACTGGCAATATTAATAATATAACAACAACAATTGCCACAGACTCACCTAATAATGAGGCTAACCCAGATACATGGTGGGGCAAGATATGGCAAAAAATTAAGTCAATCTTTTAAATAATTTAAAGACATTAGTTAAAACTTTGTATATAGTAGATAAATCAAATTAAACATGAGAGCATTATAAAAATTAAAAAAAAATATATATATTAACAACAATAATTTAATTGTCTAACAAGTAAGAGTGTTATATTCGGCTATGCCGAATCTTATATACCCACCATCAAATCACTGTCATATAAATAAACTTTGATATTTTGAATATTTTATTATTATGTATCGATATTAATGAGAACATCATTGTAATATTTGAAAGAGGTCCATTAATGGGGGTTTAACTATTGACAGTGCTCTTTCGAATTAAATATGTTAATTTATATAGGGAGTAGGGTTATATAAACACATATGGACCAATTCTCACAAAAGTCGGTAGGAAGATTTCAGTTTATTTATTTCAAATTTCATAGATCTACTTGTATTTTTTAGCCAGTAATGAGCATTAAAGTAATTTTCTTAAAGGGACCTTATACGGGGTTAAGGTTAATTATGGACCGATCCTCATAAAATATGGTAGAAAGATTTTAGCTAAAAATTTGTTTATGTCGAATTGCATCGAATTTCATTTACGCCAGTAATGAGCATTTAAGTTATTTTCTAATGGGGACCTTAAATGAAAGGTAGAGTCAATTATGGACCGATCCCCACAAAATTTTGTAGAGAGATGTTAGCTCATACAAAACTATATCGAATTTCATCGCCTTACTCGCTTTTTTAGGCCAGTAATGAGCGTTAAAGTAATTTTCTGTTAGGGACCTTATATGCGGGATAGGGTCATTTAAGGCCCGATCCACATAAAGGTTTTGGCTCCTAAGATACTTATTTCTGTCAAATTTCTTCGCTATACTCGTATTTTTACGCCAATAATTAGCGTTAAAGACATTTTCAGAAGGGGACCTTATATGGGCGGATAGGGACAATTATGGACCGATCCACATATAGTTTGGTGGAGAGATATTGGCTTGAAAGAAACCCATGTTTAGCGAATTTCGTCGCTATATTCGTATGTTTAAGCCAGTAATCAGAATTATAGTAATTTTCAAAAGGGGACCTTATATGGGTGGTAGGGCCAATTGTGGTTCTATGTCCGACATAATTCAGAATTTTATTTCGGAGGTCAAAAAACTGACTTATGCTAAATTTTGTGCCATTCGCTTCATAAACAACGAATTTGTGAATGTTTGAAGCTTTTTACACAATATTCCGGGGGTACATTTGTATGGGGGCTATGTGAAATAGTTGACCGATTTTGCCCATTTTCAATACCAAACATTTCTGATCCATAAAAAATATTTTCATAGTCATATAAATTTCATCTCAATATCTCTTTTTTTGTGGACGCTATCGTGCCAACAACAGACAGACGGACAGACGGACGGACATAGCTAGATCGTCTTAGAATCTTACGAGGTCCCAGAATATATATACTTTATGGGGTCTGTGAACAATATTTCGATGTGTTACACACGGAATGACAAAATCAATATACCCCCCATCTTTTTTGATGGTGGGTATAAAAAAGAAATTATACAAATAATAGGGTGAAGATAACAATACATGAATGTTGAATATAATTTTTTAGATTTCTTTAATATTTTTAAGCTTCTCACTATTAAATTTAATCCATTTATTTCCAGATTCCAATTTAAATTCCATATTCCTTTACACGTTTTCTTATATTCTATAGAAATAACCTTTTTTACCTTTTTGTCAAGAAAAAATCCTTTATTGTTTTATAGCTTCACACATTAATCACATTTTAGGGAAAAAATATATTTTTTTTACTAAATCACGTGTCAAAATATAAATGTTCCATTTTTATGGCAGCAAAAAATGTGCCTAAAAATATTACTTATCCTTAGAGTATAAATGGAAATCCTTCAACACCCACATGGCTAAGCAAAGTAACTAACAATAACTCAATCGAATAAATGACACAGTCATTACAAACACTCAGGAGCTACAAGAAAAATTGTCCACAAACTAAATGAACTTGTAACTACACAGCATGTAACAGCATCAATCTTGCAAAAAAAACAAAATTAGTTTATATTCAAAATCATAAATGCTGAAAAAAAAAACAATATGAGGATAATAAACGTTAAAAAAATTTTTTCTGAGTAGCAGCCCAGCAAAAACATAACTTACTCAACAACTTTCTTTTTAATGACTACTACATACCGCCTGCATTACTTACAAGGAGTCTAGTATTGACTTACATATTATATATTATTTAAGTACATACTTTTAAGCCTTCACAAATTGTTTTCGAACTTTGTTTTTAACACAAACGCAGTGGACTTATGCTCATAGGCAATTTTTCTCAGAAACTACTTACTTAACTACAAAAGTAAGTACTTATGTAACTCCCTATTTGTAAACGAGAGTGTTAAATTAATGACTTAAAATTCTATCGTGTAAGTAAATTTTAACCGCTTACTTTTTAAAGTAAGTTTTAGCTGGGAGTGTAATAAAATACACATTATCCTTCGTTTCATATAGGCTATGGAATGTTGCCTACACGGTATGTAAATTTATTCAAGCATGGAAAAGAATGTCATTAACTAAATCACCATTATGTCATTATCATCATATACGTAGTACATACTTTATAAGCAATGATAAATCGGATTTTGTTAGCAGTAGTAGTAGTACAACAAATAAAAAGATTTCTGGTTTAGTAGAATATTGTTTATCCTCTATTAGAAAACAAGTAGGTCCAATCACATGATACCCTATAATGGTGAGACCAATGTTGGGTAGTGTTCCATGATGATCCAGTCCTAACAGAATATGTTAAAGCATTTCTGGTTGGAATTAGAACAACTTATTTTAAATTTTGTTACGCTACAAATTATTATAAGATTCAAGTGCGTTTGAGAGATATCGAAAGAAGACTCTCTATGGTGCACCAAGACAGTAATGGAGTGTAGTGTAAAGTATTGAAATATATTGATTCCAATTAATTAAATCAAACAAACCAAATTATTTTTATTGCACTTTTATAGTTTCATACATATTTTTATCATATTTATATTAAAAAGTATATTAATAATTCTTCAATACATTTCAAAAGCATTCTTTAGCGTTCCAATCGCTAACTTGACATTTGTTTTCTATTCAAACTTTTGATTTTGAATTGTACAAAGACAAAGAACTTTATATTATAAATTCTTCTGCTCCCACCGAGACCTGTTGGCACTATGACAACTTATTTTTTTTACGTTTTTTCTATATAGAAGAAAAAAACAAAAGGATTTTGTGTAATATTAAATTAGAGATATAATAATATAATAAATAGTAAGGTGGAGACAAAGAAAACAGCAGTGGACTCGAATGCATATTTTGTAAAAATATTAACAGAACTAAGAAAAGAAATAAATTTATGATTTTAAATAATGGACAAAGGACTAAAGCATGTATTGTATATGTAAAGATACCTACTTAGACCAGTACATAAATGTAGAATTTACTAGAACTGAACCAGAAATGAACTAGAACTGAACTTGAACTGAACTAGAACTGAACTAGAACTGAACTAGAACTGAACTAGAACTGAACTAGAACTGAACTAAAACTGAACTAGAACTGAACTAGAACTGAACTAGAACTGAACTAGAACTGAACTAGAACTGAACTAGAACTGAACTAGAACTGAACTAGAACTGAACTAGAACTGAACTAGAACTGAACTAGAACTGAACTAGAACTGAACTAGAACGGAACTAGAACTGAACTAGAACTGAACTAGAACTGAACTAGAACTGAACTAGAACTGAACTAGAACTGAACTAGAACTGAACTAGAACTGAACTAGAACTGAACTAGAACTGAACTGAACTAGAACTGAAACTAGAACTGACCTGAACTGAACTAGAACTGAACTAGAACTGAACTAGAACTGAACTAGAACTGAACTAGAACTGAACTAGAACTGAACTAGAACTGAACCTAGAACTGAACTAGAACTGAACTAGAACTGAACTAGAACTGAACTAGAACTGAACTAGAACTGAACTAGAACTGAACTAGAACTGAACTAGAACTGAACTAGAACTGAACTAGAAATGAACTAGAACTAGAACTGAACTGAACTGAACTGAACTAGAACTGAACTAGAACTGAACTAGAACTGAACTAGAACTGAACTAGAACTGAACTAGAACTGAACTAGAACTGAACTAGAACTGAACTAGAAACTGAACTAGAACTGAACTAGAAACTGAACTAGAACTGAACTAGAACTGAACTAGAACTGAACTAGAACTGAACTAGAACTGAACTAGAACTGAACTAGAACTGAACTAGAACTGAACTAGAACTGAACTAGAACTGAACTAGAACTGAACTAGAACTGAACTAGAACTGAACTAGAACTGAACTAGAACTGACTAGAACTGAACTAGAACTGACTAGACCTGACTAGAACTGACTAGAACTGAACTAGAACTAACTAGAACTGAACTAGAACTGAACTAGAACTGAACTAGAACTGAATCGAGAACTGAACTAGAACTGAACTAGAACTGACTAGAACTGAACTAGAACATGAACCTAGAACTGAACTAGAACTGAACTAGAACTGAACTAGAACTGAACTAGAACTGAACTAGAACTGAACTAGAACTGAACTAGAACTGAACTAGAACTGAACTAGAACTGAACTAGAACTGAAACTAGAACTGAACTAGAACTGAACTAGAACTGAACTAGAACTGAACTAGAACTGACAGAACTGAACTAGAACTGAACTAGAACTGAACTAGAACTGAACTAGAACTGAACTAGACTGACTAGAACTGAACTAGAACTGAACTAGAACTGACTAGAACTGAACTAGAACTGAACTAGAACTGAACTAGAACTGAACTAGAACTGAACTAGAACTGAACTAGAACTGAACTAGAACTGACTAGAACTAGAACTGAACTAGAACTGAACTAGAACTGAACTAGAACTGAACTAGAACTGAACTAGAACTGAACTAGAACTGAACTAGAACTGAACTAGAACTGAACTAGAACTGAACTAGAACGAACTAGAACTGAACTAGAACTGAACTAGAACTGAACTAGAACTGAACTAGAACTGAACTAGAACTG